TATGAGTCAGTGTCGCTATGAAGTTGATGATCCTGACTCGCCATCTCATCATTGGACGTGCCTTTAGAAAGAAATGCATCTTTACGGATTACATAATAATAAGAGGTTTTGGATTTGAATTATTTTGTTTTGTAGTCATTTAACGCTTTCTATAGATATATTCATCAAGTCTGTAAGGAAAACATTCGCTGAGTTTCGGTGCATTTTTGTGAAGCGCTCCTGTTCAAGACCTCCATGATTCGCCTGTTTTTGCACTTCCTGTTTTTCCCTGCTTGAGAATTTCTGTCCAATGAATGGATGACATTAGCACACGTGTGGTTTTGTTTACAATTTCTGGTTCACTTGCAAAAAAGGGCAGTGTGAAAGCGAACCGCACCAGACAAAAAAAAAAATCAACGTTGTATTTGGTCCGGACCAAAGCAAGTGAACTAACGGACTTTCCTGGTGTGAATACACCTTAAGTTTTGTTCTAACCGGGGCATGCCACGATGGCCATTTTTGCAGATATTTTTTTCTACGCCTTCTGTGAAATTTTTTACATTCCCATTTGCTCTAATATCAAAGGAATAAATCCATGATAGCGTATCTATGACTTTACAAAATAGGAAGAAATATTGAGAGATTGATTACATTGGTCAGAAGAGAGAAAAATGCCAAATTTGTTGGCACCCCCTCAGCCGTTGTATAAGAAATACTCGAGCATCAATGTTGACTATTTTTCTGTAAATAAATTCCAAAGTGACATTATAAAAAATAAATAAATAAGAATAATTTTTTTTTTTAAATGAAAATATTAAAAAAATAGATTTACAGTGTTAATAACTGTGGAAACGTGCCATATGGAATAAAATACATTTAAAATATTTAGTGCTGTCTTAGATTTTGGTTAAAACAAGGATTCAGTTTTGGTGCCTACTGTTTGAAACAACCTCATTGTTATAAGTTATGTTATGGGGAGTAAAGGATGCATTTAGAAAAGTGAATCTTGCTGTATGGACTAACATGCTACATGGACACAGTACTCTCTGACAGATATTACTCAAAGCTGCTTATTATTATATATTAAACTGATATTCTCCATGACAGCCCATGTGAACGGCAAAAATGAATCTAACCAAAAATTTTGGTCTGCACGCTTTCTCTACCTGTCAGTCATTTTGAGCAGCCAGGTTAGCTGACATTGGGCTTGGAGGACAGGACGTCTATATGGATAATTAATAATGGATAATGGATCATTTGTAGAGATGGGTGATCTAATTCAGTGGTGGAAGTTAGTGAAGCGGCTAACATCCCTTTTAGCACCTTTAAAACTAGGTAAATAACAGTAATTAGTTTACTTTTCTAGCAGATGCTCTTTACTGTAGTGTTTCGAGGACCCAGTTACAGCTCAGTCGATTCCACACAGCAAAATTATATAAGAAATTAAGACTTGTTTACAGAGAATATATCTTGAAGTTTATTTTCCTTACACCTGTGGTAAACAGTTTTTTTTTCTTGTTTTTAGCATTTAAGCATTAAATTAAAACGTGAATTTGTTTAAAATGAGAAAGAATGAAAAAACATTTGCCAGTGGGGTATAAAAAATAAAGTTGTATATTTTAAAATATATTCTCTGAAAAAAAGTCTTATTTTACATAATTTGCTTCTCAATTTAATATTTCTTGTTTTATAGATATCTAGATATTTTTTACTGGCAAAAGGAGAACTTTTAAATAAGAAAGTGATTTTTTGGGCTTTTGACTTGCCTATGAAGAAAGAAAACAAGCTTTCTGAACTCTCTGTTCAGGTCTTCTGCCTGGCTCATTTTTAGCAGCATCCTCACTCACTTCAGCTGAGCTCGTGCATTCGGTATTATAAGATTATCTACGTTTCTCAATCCCTGCAAGCAGAGGCATCCGATGCACAATATGAGCTCTAGATTTAACTGGAGGCCATTTCACTTCCATGGCTGAAGATTTGTAAGTGTATTAGTCACACTCGGGTTGTAGATCTGCGCCTCTTCCCAAGACTATTCGCTCTGCGAGGCCGCTCGGGGGTGATTGTGTTTTCCAGTAATGTGTTGGATAATCCTAATGCTGGAGTTATGTTGAGGATGTGTGCCAGGGCCAGGACACTGGTGCATGGAGCAGATCTGGCCAGAACAGACTCGACTGGGCTCTGTCTGGCCAGCATGCTGCAGATGGCTAATGTAGGCCGCCACTCCTAATGAGTAACGACAAAGGAAGCCCCTTTCTCAGCATGTACTTTCTCTCTCTCGCTCACTCTTTCTCTCCTCCTCCTCCTCCTCTCTTCCTTAAGCAGATTAATTAGCAGCACTTTCCCTTATCGGCCAAGAAAGTGCTCTCACTAAGTCCGTAGGGAGATCTCACCAGGGAGGCACAGTCACTGCCCAGCTTTTCTGCACTTTACTTTGTGTTTATATGCATGCATGTGTGCGTGTGTGTGTGTGTGTGTGTGTGTGTGTGTGTGGGTTGTTCTGTGTATTCAGACAATATTGAGACTATGTGAAAGCTGTATTTGCATATGCAGCGTTCAACAATATGTGAAAGCTGTATTTGCATATGCAGCGTTCAACAATACTTTTACAAGTATACCAGAAAGTAAGACATTAGAATGTATATGCAACATAACAGAATGAAGAGCTTACACCATTCATGTCTGTCTTAGTAAAGCTTTCCAAAATGTGTGGATTTTTTGGCTTGCATCTTCAGTGGTATTCACTGTAAAAGCGCCCTAAATCTTTTGGAGGCAACTTTCTATCAACAGTCAGTGCTGTTTTGCACATTATTGTATAAATGAGTGCCCAGTTATAATGCAATTTTTTAAGCACAGTCGTTCTAGCACATTCAGGTGAACCTTTCGGCATTCAAAGACACCTTGCACATCAAAGTCTATTTTTGGCATACTGTAATGTGAACCATACAAGATCGGGTAGAACTGCTTTTAGACATTATGCCTCCTTTTTACAAATATTCACATTTTCAGAAAGCAGGTGAAAACATATCTTTTTATGTTAGCTTTTGAGGAAATTATTATTATAAGTTATTAATTATTAATAATGATGATGATGATAATATTTCCTCCACTTTGAGTTGCATTTTGTGTAAAAGGTGCTATGCAAATGTATTATAGAATGAATAATATAATGATTATTATCATTGTGATTAATATATTAACATATTAATATATTAACATTATTTCCTCTTGCTTTATAATTTTATTTACGAAAAGTGCTATACAATTTAAATGTATCATATAATTATTATATATATACTTATTTTGTACTCAACTAACTTGCCTGTATATTCTTGTTCTCTCTTATATGTATAAAAATCGTGAAGTAGACTAAAAATTTCACTACATTTGTACCACTTTAGCTCTAAATCAGCTCATCATAATTGTGACATAAATAGCAGTCTCTCTCCACAGTTTACACTGGACTAACATGAAGCCAGATCAAGGTCATTCTCATTTCAGAAAGTTCCCTTCCTCCTCTCTCTCCTTCCCCCATCAAACTAATTAGTGTTTTATACTGGTCTCTTTAATATTAGCCCAAAATAGTGCTGGTGTTTGATGTTTAAATCCAGTCACCGGGAAGTGTAAGCTAAGGATTTCATCAGCGCCACAGGGCTTCTTTAGCCCCAGTAGTGCAGGTATATTCTTGTTCTCTCTTATATGTATAAAAATCGTGAAGTAGACTAAAAATTTCACTACATTTGTACCACTTTAGCTCTAAATCAGCTCATCATAATTGTGACATAAATAGCAGTCTGTCTTCTCGGTTTTCACTGGACTAACATGAAGCCAGATCAAGGTCATTCTCATTTCAGAAAGTTCCCTTCCTCCTCTCTCTCCTTCCCCCATCAAACTAATTAATGTTTTATACTGGTCTCTTTAATATTAGCCCAAAATAGTGCTGGTGTTTGATGTTTAAATCCAGTCACCGGGAAGTGTAAGCTAAGGATTTCATCAGCGCCACAGGGCTTCTTTAGCCCCAGTAGTGCAGGTCTCAGTGTGAATCTATTGCTTTAGATATGCCTCAGTAATCTGCTGTTGGGTGGGAGTAAAAGAGGGGGCAGGAAGTATGCTTCATATTTTCATATTATTAGAAGGAAAATTAGGCCGGTTATGAGTTCATGTCAATGTGTAAGCTGCTCTGAAGATGGTTGAGGCCACTGAAGATTCACTAAACAATTTTTTTACCTTTTTGCCTTGCTTTCTCTAGACTCCGCCCCTTAATATCGTCCACTCCCAAGAAGAAGAGGACAGCAGCCAAACCGGTAGGTTGAATGAGAGCCCTCTATTATTACTGTTAATATTTTATTTTCCATTTAAAAGTTTATTTTACATTGGTGCATTGGTACATTACCATGGTTATTCTTGTTGCAACCAATTCGATTGGACGTACAGCCCTGGACATTAAAAACCAAATATATGGCAAGAATTTTCTCTTCTGTTTTTGAACTCTGCACCTCATTTCATAACCCAAGATCTAATGTGATTACTGAATGGCATCTCAGTGCAGACCTGTTTGTGGTCTGTTTTCTTGTTGACCTAATGAACAATATTTCATGAATATCAGCTTAAATTCACTTGATTAACCCTACTTGACTTCAGTGATAAATCCATCACGATAATCAAATACTTCAATGCTAAATGTCACGGCAATAAATAGCGAACCAGCATATTTCACAATACAGGGTAAATATGGCATATACATTTAATTGAAAGTCAATATTTGTGATAATGTTCAAGCCAAGTTGATGGATTGCCTCTGTGGTCACTGGGTCTTAGTGTCTCTCTTCAAAATAGTCAGGCTTGATTAAGCATCAACGTGGCCTGAAGTCAACCATACTGAAGTACGTGTACAAACAGACAAAAAAGCTGTTGTGGGGGAAAAATCACGCACAAAATGATTGCAGGGGTCAACTTTGCTCTCGCAATGAAGCCCCCCGCTGTCCCATCCAGGTTGCTGCCAATATGTTCTGAAATAAATCAGTATTATATAATGTATTGTGCCTTTCTCAGAGAGATTCAGAGGAGAGTCATTCTTAACAAAGAAACATTAGCCGTTCTCCCTTTGTTCCCACAAAACAAGAGCAGAGCATTCTCTGGGGTCATAAGGGGTCTTAGTTCAGATGTCATAAATACTACTAATAAATTGTAGAATGAAATAGAAGCATTAAACAGAAAAGTTCTGGAATTGTATCTATCTTTTTCTTAATTTTCTTGTTCCTAATGAGATCATTAATGCCCCAGCCCAGATTCTCTAGCCATTAGGCCTCTGCTTGTCTCTGTGATCCCAGCCCGGGTTACTCACTCTGGGTGTAACCTACAGGTGAGCTGCAGGGAGTCTTCTAGGCGTTTGCCAAGCTTGGCAGCCCCTATTACAAGAACACCACTGCTGCTGTTTCCCCTTAACTGGCACTGCCTGAAGAGTGGCCTCACGGTACAGCGGCAAGTCTGTGCTATAATTACCACTGAGACTTTCATGCTCTTCCTCCAGTTTTCACAACATGATAATTGATTTAGGCCTCTGCTTCCCCTGAGCTGTACTTCCTTACACAGATGCCTGCTGGGAAATGTAGCCCTAATTCACTTGGGCTCGTTCTTTTCGATTTAATCTTTGTTTTTTCCTCGACTGTATAGTTTCACTATTTTTAGTTGTTGTTTTTTAAGGGAAGGGAATCAGCACAAGTTGCAGGCCAGAGTCAAACCTGCATTTCCAACATAAGCACCATGATTCTACATGTCAGATGCGCTAGCCACTACACTATGGTGCAGAGTAAGAATCAGTATTGAGCATTACTATGGAAAATATTTGTGAAAAATGGATCAGGATTTGTTGCAGGCCAGATTCAAACCTGCATTTCCCACATGAGCACCATGATTCAACATGTCAGATGCATGTATGCTAGCCACTACTCTATGGTGCTGACTAAAAAATAGCCTTTAAATTAATATGGTAATTATTGAGGATAAAGTAGGGAAATGCGATCAGGACTTGTTGCAGGCCAGATTCAAACCTGCATTACCCATATAAGCAGATTTAATATGTTAGATGCACATATTTTAGCCACTACACTATGGTGCTGACTAAGAATCAGTTTTTTTAACATTATTATAGAAATTATTTGGGAGAAACAGGAAATGGGCTCGGAACTTGTTGCAGGCCAGATTCAAACCTGCATTTCCCACATGAGCACCATGATTTAACATGTCAGAAGCATATTTGCTAGTCACCACACTATGGTGCTAACTAAGAATCAGCATATTGAATATTATTATGAAAATTATTTGGGGCAAACAGGATCGGGACATGTTGCAGGCCAGATTCAAATCTACATTACCCACATGTTCACCACAATTCAGTGTGTTAAATGGGATCAAGACACATTGCAGATCAGATTAGAACCGGCATCACCAGCGCAAGCACATTTTATATCTGACAGTAGAATTTCACGGAAGCATTGTTAGTTTATAAACTAATATGTTGTCTATTATTGTTCTAAAACATGATCTATTTCAGGTCACTCCCAACATCACCATGATGTTGCCCCCTCCAGCTCCCACCCTTCCCCCCGTGATGGAAAGTGGGCCTGTGGCATATGATGAACCCGCTGAGGAGGAAGAGGAGAATGAGGAAGAGGCGGAGGTGTCTTGCATTAGCGCCATGGAGCTGATAGGTGGAAATGGTCAGTATGTCACAGTGGATTGTAGTCATGTCGCTGACAAGGATAATGAAGTCACGGCTCAAGGGTTCAAAGAGTTCAAAGAGTTTACTAGATTAGTTCCAAGGTCTGACTCTTTTTTGACTCACATTTTGACAAATTGTGTAATGCTAAGTGGGCTGTAACTCTCTAGCATTCGTGGCAGACTACATTTGAAGTGTTTATCATCTTGATAAACTGCTCCTATCTCTTCTCCTCTGCAAGTCATACATCTACAAATAGTTGCTTATCACAGTAGTGTCCTAGCAGCAGTCTACCAATATAGTTTGATCTAATCTTTACCGTTCTCTTTTTTCAACATGTATCCAGAAACAACAGAATTCATGACAACCTTTCTCTTTACAGACTACGGATGTGAAGCTGAAGAAGAGGAGGTATTTTAGACTGCCGTCTGTTCCCCGAAATTCTTCTCATTCTCCTATCCACTATCCACCACTCTGTATAGTGAGGAGAGGAGAAATTAAGGCACATTTGAGACACCTATAATATGCTGCACGTTTATGAAAGGTCATTCTCCATCACAGTGCTTTATATGACTGGTTAAACTGCAGCATCTGTGTGATGAATGAGCTACAATGGGAGAAGGTGGCTGGCAGCTTTAGACTGAAGAACATAAAACCAGTTTAGCACTTTGTCGGTGTTCCACTAAAAGTTCAAGAGACAGGAAGCTCTATAGTAGTTTCCTGAGTGTCTCAGAGAATTTGTTTTACGGGTGCAGGATTTGAACCTGTTTGTAATTCCTTAAAGGTGAGGATATTGATGTCTTCTTAGCTTGCTAATAATATTGAATGCATTGTGGGAAAATGTAATCGCGATCTGTTGTACATTTACACTTGTTGTACAGAATTGTACATATACAGTAGGAAGCTGTGAAATTGTCACTTTCAGTGTTTTAACTTTTTATTTTTTGCTATTTTGTCTGTATATATGTACATGTAACAGTATTTTTGTTAGATGCACTGTAATATTTCCTAATTCCATGAAAAAGTAAATGTTCCTCTGTGTTGGATTATGATAAATATTCATGTATTTTACAGCAATGTTATGACCCTCATTTTAACTGTTTTCATCAGATCATCAGATGTGGATTTCAGAGTACACAGTAAAAACTAGTGAGCAGAATTTGTTAATGTATATGTGAATAAATTCACGCATGTTTAGGATGATTTTATGGTGCTTTTGCATTCATTTTGAAGTTTAAAAGCCCCATCCCCTATTCATTGTAGCTTTTGTGTTCGACTGAAGAAAGAAGGAAAGTCATACAGATTTGAAACAACATGACAGTGAGTAAATGACAACAGAATTTAACATTTTTGGTAGCACAACAAGCATTGTGAATTCATTTCTTCATGTTTTCCCTACATTCCCTTTCTTGTTTCTTTTTATATTTTTCATGTCAAGCAAGTACTGTACAGTAGTTCCTTACAGCTGAAATTCTTAAACGTTATTTGCCAGCCAAACCCCTTTGACCTGAAATATTTACTTGAAGTACCCCAAGATTTTATATTAATATTTAAATGACTGAACAACACGTTCCCATGTTTACAGTTCTCTGATGTTGGTTAATGGTCACATGACATGCAGGCAAACAAATAAATTGTTTTGATTAATTTAGATTTTTTTAATTATTGTAATTTTTATAACTAAATTAATTATTAGCTTTTCATTAACTCAAAAACCACTTGCAGTTCCCTCACAAACCCTATTTTGGCAAACCACAGTATGCTACACGTCTACACAGACTCACTTCCCACATGCTACACGTACGTCTGTGATACAATTGCTAATGTCTCAAATCAGATTTGTTCAGGAGTCGTGGTCAAGGTGGTTTAAGACTTCGATTCATCAGTGCTTCCTGAATTTCATTAGAAGAATCAAGCTTAATGTCTTTGTGCGACTATGATCCGAGCATTCAAGAACCACAAAAGCTGAAACATACAAAACCGGTTTTCATTTGTGAGTACTGTAATGGCTAATGATATAGATATTTTATGAGTCTGCGGTCAGACGAATGCGATGGGCTTTGCCTGTGGCTCATATACCCTGACAGAGCTCATCAACAGATAAATCATTAGAATGACAGAGAGAGATCCAGTTGAACCGTTTACCCCTAGACCACCATCAGCCTCTCTGTGTGAAAGGCCATATTCATACAAGGCAACGCAGTATGCAGCTACCTGGAGGTTTAAGACGTGTTTGCTTTCGAGAGTATGGAGAAACTGCGGCCAATTTAACCCGCTCTGCTGATCAGACTGAAGGGTAACAAAACACTATAATGGTCTGCTTCTGCAGTACTGCAGCCTGTCACTCACATCTGATTTGATTTGTCCACAGATGCAGGCTCAGGGTGCCCTTATACTTCAGCTGTATCGGGTTCAGTTCTTCAAAGCATTGTGTTCAAATTGCTTCCAACTCTGTCTGGCTGCAGACCTACTCTGGTTTCAGCCAGGCTGGTATATTAATCACGCAGTCCTCTCGGAGCAAGGTTAACATTGTGATTTTAACATCCCGTAGATAACCGCAAGGTATCGCTGGACTGTGTTTCATAATTACCAGCCCAAACTGAAGTTAGTTATGTTTCCATGCAGCTTGTTAAGGAGAGTTATGCTCATTACCATTTTTGTTACAATGTGTTTGAAGGATGATGATGAAGCAATGAAAGAATCCCATAGATTTGCACTGAAGGAGAGATGCGAGCGATTTTGACTTGGGCTATTAAACAACCACCCAGGAAACCACCCACAACTCTCTAGTATGATGTTGGTGTGCATTTTCTTCGTTAAATTTCTTGCAGGTTTGACTTTGTCCCTAGGTTTGTAAAAATGAACGCATAACGTAGTTCGTCTACCTAAAAATGTAGTGCCACTTCAAAAGACGATTTTGGCAACTTTGAATAACCAACATGTTTTTAATTAACGGTGCACTCAGTTGATTATGTTTTGGTGAATGATACATCAGTTATACTGACACCTAGTGGTGTGGATGTATTATCATGCAAACGTTTTCCATGAACAATACAGAAATACCCTATTCATAGTCGTTTTAGGTTAGGATTAATTTATTCTGTGAGAGCAAAATTTTTATTATTTTTTTATTAGAATTTTATTATATCGTTATTTTATGAGGCTACTGATATGACTCGAGTCTTCATCTTATTTGAGTACAAATAATATTTAAAAAAAACTATTCAAATTTTTTACTAAGGAAAAAATGACTAAATGCACCTTTAAGGTTCCACCCAAAAATGAAAATAGTTATTTACTCTCCTTCATGTCATTCCAAACCTGTATAACTTCCTTTTTTTTCTTACGGAATACAAAAGATATTTTGAAGTATGTTGATAACCAAACTATTTTGGTTCCCATTGACTTGAATTGCATTGCATTGTTTTTGTTCATTTAATTGAAGTCAATGAGAACCAAAACGGTTTGTTTACCAACATACTTTAAAATATCTTCTTTTGTGTTTCACAGAAGAAACAAAGTCATACAGGATTGGAACAACATGAGTGTGAGTAAATGATGACTAATTTTTAAGTGAACTATCCCTTTAAGAATTCATGTATGTGTTTTAATAAAAATATGTGCTTCTTTTTGTCCTTCATTACAGCTGAGGGATGAATTGAAATGACCTTGGTAATCGACATCATGCCACAGATGCTTCTCGTAGACTTTAAGTGGAAAATAATGGATGATAATGTCTTATGACACTCATTAGATACAATGACGGTGATGATGATTGTGATGAATAAGTGATTAATACAGTCCCTTTAGGTTTCACAGCAAATGCAACGTATCATGCTGTTTGCACCCTTTCTAGTCACAGGCTGTTTTGAGTTGCTCTTCGCCTCGAGCTACGGTAAAGCCTGTGGATTGTGCATAATCATTTTCCTGTGAGCCACAGGCCAGCTGTGTCCTGGAGGTTGAGGGTAGAGGGCTGTGTGATTTATACAATATGACGCTTCTCCTGTATGCCGTGTGCTGTCAGATAGCTCATCTGTCTCCTCTGACTGTAGTCACTCCATTGGGCTCAGGTGAGAGTAAACATGACCTCATTGATCTTCACTATGTTTGTTCAGGCCAGACCAACATATAAGCTTATCATAAGCATATACACCTCAAAAAAAAAAAAACTATTGCAAAATAATGCACTCTGGAGGTGGTAATGCAGCCATGGTGCGAAGAGGAGCTTGTTTATTTTTTATTTTTTAACAAGTCAGTTGCCCGTCTTCAACTATTATTATCACTCTTGCAAATATAAAGGCTGTAAGAGATGTTGGAGGCTATATGATGGTGACAATGAAGTCATGCAACTGTGGTGTAGTTCAGTTATAGGCTGTTATATGTTATGATATAGCCTATATCTTTTTTTCTTCAGTTGTATTAGGATTTACAATTCATAAACGTGTTCAGCAGGGAAGATTATCATGATGAAAGAAATGTGTAAGAATCCTAAACTTTTGTTGGTAACAGAGCTGATTTTCTGTAATAATCCAAAAGCCAATGGAAAATCCTATAGGTTTTTGTCAAGGGAATCGGGTTAATGCTAAATTCAAGGTTTGGTCTACAAAATTACATTATCAATGGAGTGTGGTATCTTTTTTTAAATGCTGGCACCTTTTATTTTGACTTTTTATTATTTTCATAAATTGAATGTGTTACATATTGTAAAAAATTGAAGTTTTCTTGTAGTATTATGGTAATATTGTCAATTTAAAAAGTTAAAAGTTCAATTGTGCGCTAATCAATGTCAGTTTCAAAACAGTGGACCAATCAGAAGAAGTCGGGGGTGGGGCAACTGTCCCAAGCGTGTGTGAAAATAGCTGCTGTTCTTGTCTTTCCATTATATTCCTCTTTTTTTTTTTGCCGTAGCATATCTCATACTCCACATTTTTTACTGTTCTTCACTGCATCTCACATTTTCTATGTGAACAACCCCTAATTAATCAGTATTTTTGTCATGTTTTCTAATATAGCAAAACTGTGCAACATAATATGGCCTCCTTATATCTGAATTTCTCCAATGAAAGTTGTCCTTTCATCCTCTCATTTGCCCCAGCTCTGCCGTACTCTTCATGTCTCTCTGCATCTCTTTGAGTTATCGCAGGCTGAACTAGAGAAATACGCAACCTATCTCTCTTTTCCTGCAGTGCACCAATTATGTAACTGTTCAGAGGTTGTCCCACGCAGACACACAGAGATGCTGTCACGTCTCCAAATGATCACCGTCTTGTAACGGTACACTATGTAGAAAACATCCTCTGCACTATCATTCCCTGCAGTGTTGTCTTGTGCTTGTTGTCTGCTAAATTTAATGCGCTCCCGGTGATGGGGCAGTGCTCCATGCATCCCCTCACTGCTTAGCTGTTCTGGGAAACAGTTTCGCTGAGGGAGACCCCCGTCTTTTGTACTTTCAAACCCAAACCTATATGATACATGTCTCTTAATTACGCACAAAAGCCCAAAGGTGTGGACAATAAAATGTTACATGCACATTAAGAGGTATAATAACACACCGTAGCCATGAAGAGACAAACTCGCCAGGGCCCCATTCAAGTGACAACGAGCCCCATCCCAGCCCCCTCTGAGCCATCTGCTGCGTCTGCCACTTGTGTATTCTCCTGCCTCACTTCTTGAGCCCTGACATTTATTCTCTTCTAGTTTTTTAAAATAACCTTTATTTAACCAGAGTGCCTAATTACTTTCTCATTTACGATGCAAAAGGTGAGGGGCAGTTCAATAACACAGGACAACGTGTGACATTAGCTGCAATGCCATTGCACAATGGTACATGGTTACATAATTTAATGTTGTTAAAAATGCTTCTGTAAAAATATGTAAATGTCAAAACAGTTTGCATATAATTTGCTACAGCAGTCTGTAAATGAAAAGACTGTAAATTAAATCATGTTTCCACATCTATTTTTACACCTGTAACTTCAAATGATATCTTGGTTGGTTTCTCTCATAATGTGCATTTCATGCTCATTAAGGATTGATTTGTTTTCTGTTAAACTCATTTTTAGTCTTTCAGTCTGTTGAATGATGGTTAAGCTTCATGTTCTGTTGAGACAGAATTGACTCTTTTTATGTTTGGGGTCCCACAGTTGTGAACATATTAAATAATAATAGTAATTTCACAATTAACATTTAGTATTCAACTTCTTTTAATATTTGCATTTAATATGTTAATATTTTATTTAAATTAGTTAATAATTTTAAATATTTTGAGTTTATTAATATTTAACTTTTTATTTTGTTTTACCACAATGTAGGCATACTGTACTTTTTTTTCTAAATTGCAATTGAAAAACTCAGTTTACTGTTGTGCATCTCCTAATAAAACACAATAGGTGTTGGACTTGAAGCAGCACTGACTGTTCTGTGTGTGGCATTAAAGTACTGCAAGAGTTGTTTTTGTTTTGTTTTTCCCCATAGGTTTTTAACATTCTAAAAGCTCTTTATTCCAAAGATACAAGCTAGTCAGTGTAT